CATGTTCAGTGCACAACACATTAAACCAGATGAAACACTCTATCGTTTGCTGCTGCTGCTTTGATAACACTGTGGCTAACACTGGCAAGAAGAAAGTCCGAAACTTAAAACCCTTCTGTATTAGCAGAGCTGCCATGGAAAGGACCCACTTTAGAAAAAACAAACTGTTCAATGTAACCATGAAATTCCTGTAATGTGCTTCCCCAGCATCGCTTCATAAAATTCATGCAGAAGAACTCACTGAAGAGATTGGTTCCCATTTAGCACCAATATCTATGTTTAACCATTACGTTAAACCATTTTAGCCATGTCTATATTACATCTTCATACAGACCTTTGCTGACAGCTTTGTTGGCATACATTTCAAGACACTTTACGATCATAAAGATGACTACCACGTGTCCTTAAATCCTGTGAAGATTACAGTACATTATTTGATTTATTTTTTTTTCAGTTTTTCTTCTGACATCATCCTCAAGGAGGAAATTCAATCCTAGTTTTTCTCCAGATTTCCTTCCACCACTTCCTTTATTCTTAATCCCTTTGCCTACTACTACACAGGATATGAAAATCCTACATTTATAAACACAGGATACATTATTTCTTTTAGTCAGATATCTGACTTAAATGATTTTGCAGTCCTATCTTCCGTCACGACTCAGAGGGAAGGCACCCACTATCAGTGTAAGTTTTTCCTCCTTCCTTCCATGAGCTAGGCTTGAGTCGCAAAGTTGTGAGCCTGTTCTTATTGCAGCCCAATCAAAATTGAGATAGAAAAATCTTACAATGTCAAGTTGTTAATTTTCTCTGAAAACAGCCAGTATGTCTTATCATGCTGTCCTGGTTAACATTTCTTCAAAGAACTCTGCCTTCTACTCCCATTTTTCCGCTTTATATTGGGGTTTTGTAGCTTTCCAAAGTTTGTTTTTCTTGAAAATTGACCCTACCATTGGCAAAGCTAAAGCCATTTGCAACTTCAGCTCCTGCATATGGGAAGAATTATCCAATTTTCCCTCTACTATTAAATGGTTTATTAGTTTTTGAGAAGTTGGAGTTGTACATGGGTTGGCTACAGACCTTCTTTGTGGGGTTAACTGTGTTCTAGTAACTGCTTAATTTGACATCCTTTCCTTATCCCACTATTAAATTACTCAACTCAAACACTGCAGCATCTATCACTAGAGTAGGATAGTATGCTTGGGAATACTATCAAAGTCCGACAGCAATTGTCTGATGCTTAAAATTGCTGTAAGATACACAAAACATCAATATCAGTTGTTTGTTGATTCCCATCTATTTTTCAAGTCATAATTAATGTTTTACAAACAACAATATCACCACCATCACTTATGTATCACATGGCTTTATTTGTGTCTGAATGTCTTCCTTTTGTAAATGAGTCCTTGCCATTGACATTCATCTCCTCTAAGGATTTGGAGATTATTAAATCAATAGATTACTACAAACCTGTGAAGTTTTGCTATTGTAAACAATCATATACAAGCTTTCATGCTCTCAATAACATTATGACAAATGATAGCGATATTGTCACAGTATTTGAATTTAGAACAATTAATTTTTCCTCTCAACAATAATACATTTTTCTCCATAGCATAGTTAAGTTTAAAGCTATTTAAGACTGACAATGTCTAGTATCACTTTTAGATGCAAGAAACACATGTACTATTAAAATCACGGAATCTTCTACCACAACATTACTCATGCCTATTATAATCTAAAGATATCATTAGCACAGTAGCAACATCATCCATTAATACTATTTACTATCGTCAAACAAGACAGAAGTAGCAATTGGCTAAAATTACAGCTGCCCCTACCTAGAAACAGAGACACAAAAGATCTGAAGAAACTGACACCAGATCAAATGAGCGTTTTTAAGCAAAGCCACAATTGCAATTCTTTTGTCGGATAGGAATAACATGGAGCCAAAGAGAAAAGGAGTAAGCAGTGTTGCATGCAGATTACTTATGTGACAGGTCCCTCAACTTATGCAAAGTCAGCATAAAAGTGAAATAGTAACTGGAAAGTTGAACATCTGTATAACAAAAGGACTATGTAGAAAATATTCAGCTAGCGTACCTTGGGCAACACATCTTGGATCATGTAGAAGAGGCTCACATTTCTATAGCAGTGTAGCTCAGTGCTACTCCCCAATATTTTGAAGAATAATTCCAAATTTTTAATAATATTTGAGTATAATTCAGGATGTTATATTTAATAACATATTAAATGCTCCCCCTGTGCGAGGGGAGTAAGTTCCCTCACACAAGCTCTGCTCTACTCTCTGCAGCACACGATCCAGAACCACTTTTGTCTTGGAGTAGAACTGCCTGCCTCTACTGAACTCTAGCGAACAACAAAGAAAATTTAAATCTCTAACAATGAGGAGAGATCAATATCACATAGGATTCACTCAAGAAAGAGGCTCGAGGAAGGTTCAATATGATCTCCAACACCTGCAGATTGCTTTTGTCTTCCTATTTTTCTTAAGAGAAAAAACCTGAAAGAAGCACTATCATACGATCTTGCAGGTTCAGATAGTGGCCAATATCTCACTGAGCTATGGGAAGAGGAAAGAACTAATTTCATACAACTTGAAGTAGAGCCACAATAAATAGCAAGTTTCATACGAAAGAAACATTAATTAAAAATTTAGGAATTCATCCCTTTCCCTCGAGGAGAAGAACGCCACGCTCATCCAGCCTGCCTCAAGCTGTCCTTTTTCTTTCTAAAGATAACCAGTACAACTGCAGCACCACCTTGGTAAAAATCCTAGACCAAATGAATAAATTCATAGCCACAAGAAAAAAGAAAAAAAGAAAAAAAAAAAAAAGCACAAACTAAATACTAATGATCCTAATTGTTGAAGATGAGAAGAAACATACTGTGCTACTAAAATAGTCTGTCTCTTCACCTATCTCCACATGGAAATCTATTTTAGAAATATGTCTATTGTGCACTGCTATTATAAAATGTACCTACATATTCTAAGATGTTGACCATAATACTGTCTGCTCCAATCAATTAGCAATTCATTTCTATCTCTAGGACAAACCTGCTTTTCTGAAGTGCATCTGAGAAAACAAGTGTATTGCTGCTATATGGTTAAGAATTAGAGTGAATTTTCTCTTTTGACATTCCAATTTTTTCTTCAATTTGAATGGAAAGAACAGCAAAAATAAATACATTTTATGAATTGTAAACCTCTCATATGTTTGGAAAACAGTAATAGCTGCAAATATTCTACTCTGTGAAAGAGAATTTCCAACTTCCCATTTACGCATGGTAGAATATCTTGGGAATCTTCTCATATCCCAATTTTTTCCCACCACAAAAACTATTCTCATATTTTAGTTTATTATTTTTCCAAGAGGCCCAAACTGTCTTTCAACACAAACACACACCAGTTCCAGAAACCAGACATAACACAAACCTGCACAGTATACAGACATCAAACTTTTTATGATCTCTCAGATCATCTCCAGAACAACCCTTCAGTCATCTCCCACTCAACAACAGAAGGGAGGCTGCAGAACCACCAAGGGAAGCTGGAAAGAAACTAGTTGTGTGGTGCAGGGCGGATATTCAAAAACCTACTTTATTTCACAGAGACTAGAGAACTGAGCCCAAGGGTTTCAGTTCTGCCCACATGAAAAATATTCTTCTTGCCATTTCTAATCTTCATTATAAGTCAACCCTAATGTGCTCAGGATCACTTTTATGTGCATACATTTTGAAGATGCACTTTCTCCTTTTAACAGACAACATACAGAGGAAAAGGTATACATTAGGTTGGAAATAAGAAAAAATATATTTCACATTTTGTTAATTCAAAAATTCAGTCCCTCTCCTCACCCTTGGCACCTTCTTAAAACATGCCACATATTGCAACACTTCTTTAGCTCCCATGGTTCTGAATTATTTTGTTGACAGCAGTGTACATCACCATAGGCTTTGGGGTAGCCAGCCTCTGCTAGCAGTCGCTAAGAAAGCGCCCTAAATCATTAGCTCAGTTTAAAGCCCACTGCTTCTTCCATCAAGGAGATTAATTTTTTCTCAGAATACAGAAAGCAATTCCTCCACTGAGAGACCTAAATGTATTTTTATCATTTATAGTGGAACAAAAGTGGTAAAAACCACCACAAGATACAAATTAATGGCATGGAAAGCAGCATAAAGCCATGCTGAGTCACTTTGTTTTGAGTGAGAATATACAGTAGATGAAAGACTGGCTTTCATGGGGCAAGAAGAATTTTGGTCTCTGAAAAAGAACATAATCAATATACTGCTACGATAAAGCATGGTCCAAAATCTCAAACAAATTTATGTATGTACACACACACACACACATGCACACATGCACACTCACATATATATACACACATATATAAATAATTATATACATATGCATATATAAAAATCAACTATTGAAAATACAAGTAAGTTTTACTATGCTTATTTTTCCCCAATAGAGTGGTAGTAATGCTTTTTATGATAAAGGGGATTTGTTCTTTTCAGAAGGAGCTCAGTATGAGGACCTAAGAAAATATGCCTTGGTTCCTTCAAGTATAAGAATCGTCCCAAAGAGAAACACAAAAGTATGTCACTTTTCCTTAGCCTTAAAGGGAAGCACCCTTTTACTGAAAGAAGGTGAGAAAGCTCATGTTTGTAACAGATCAGCACCGTCTTTTAAAGGTGACGAGCACTCCCTGTACCTACCTCTAAAAGAAGCAGAAAAAAAAAATCAACATTTCTTAAAAAGTATTCCTCCATTCTTAGAAATAATATTACTAAAGATAAAGTAGTTTAACAGTAAAAATATTTTTAAATGAAAAAAAAAAGATATAACAAAATTGTTAATGTATTAACTTGAATTTTATAATGTTGTCATGGTAAGCTGACTCTTTCTACTGCATTATTAATTATATTTCAGAAAACTCCTAGAAATGTAAATCAAAGACTTGCATACAAATACTTACTGCAGGTATCAGTAACTTTTTAACTTCTTCAACAGCTCTCTTCAGCTTTATTTCTGCTCTGTTTTGAGCATCCTCCACAGTGATAAGTACATGTAAATCTTCATTCAGGTGTTCCCAGTTGGGCTTGCCTCGGTTCTGTTCTTCCTAATAAATAAAGAAATGAATAAATAAACAAATATGGAAATGATGAGGCTTTGCTACAATCCGTATCAGACGAACAAAAACAGCAGACAAACTCCAATCTATGAAGAGTATGAGTTCCATTTTCAGTAGGAAATGGAAAAAGGCTTCCGGATATTGTGGAGATAGAGTGTTTTATTTTATTGTGTTATTTAAAGGCTTCAAAATATCTTTTACTAAATGTTTCTGGAAGTTTGTAGGTATGTTTTGAAGTCTCATTCTTTTTTAGAATAACTGCTATATCAGTGATTTCTTAGAGTATCTTCTCCCACAGAACACAGCTACAAGAACAAGACTACCAAGTACTACAGAAACACTGCTTTTTTTTTGAGCCATTCAGAGATTTAAGAGATAAAACACTTTTTGGTTAAGCAACATCATATTTTCAAGAGAAATGAAATGGCCACAAATGCAGAAATTCCACAAGAATTGCTCTAAAGCGACGGAGACCAACAACCCTTTCGTGTTAAAGAACATGGAGGTTTGTTCATTTCAAATACCTCAAGGAAAAATCTTCAAAACTAACCACCAAGAGAGGAATGTTAGTTCTGATTTTCAAAATGGAGCTAGATACTAGATACACTGAATGAAAGCAAGAGAGGTGACAAAGCTTTCATAAAGGGCACAATATACTACTTAAAAATGTCCCCATTACACAGGTACCCTCCTGCAGCTGTGGCATTAACAACCCCAAAGATAGGTCTTAACATAACTCAAGAGACAAGCAGAGCAGGTGTTAAAAAGCATTTTAAAAAGTGACTAAAATTTGGGTTTTAGTAAACAGATGAAGCTGTATTTAAGTAGCACACTCATTCTTTCAGAAATGAGATGATAAACAAGAGACAAGACACTTTCTACCTCCATTTATATTAAACAATGAGTAAAGCTGCGTAAGTTTTCCATAAACATATCTGAAAAACAATTAAGGGTAAAAGCTCTGGAAAAAATAAACACTTCAGTAAAGGGAAAAGCTTATTACTATAACCTTTGAATACAAGTAAAGACCCACATAAAGAGAAATGCCTCTAAAATTGTTGTCTTAATTTTTATAAATGTGAAATGTGGTAAGCCCGAACCACCTAACCACCTATCTTATAGGAGGCTCCTTTGGTACATCTCATATTTTCAGCTTAAGACAAGATAATTTAATTGTCAATATGCCTTTTTCACAGAATTTAATTAAGATTCTTCCAGGAAATCACACACACACACACACAGAGGAAATACGGAAAGATTTAAGGGCAACCAATACATGAAGTACTTCATATTCGCAAATACCAGAGGGAGCACTGTTTCTCACAAAGTTCTCTAATTCAGCTTTTTAAGTCTGAAATGTTTTGTGCAATAGGCAAGGATAAAAAATGAAGAAAAAAAAAAAAAAAGGAATCATGAAAGGTATATGGAAAATTTATCTGAAGGAATCAGTACTTGGAAAGAAATTTCTTTTTACTGTTGTGCACACACACTAGCCCAAGAGTACAACCTGAAAATGAAAGCAATTATTTCTTCTGACACACACTATCAGCAAACGCGAGTCTTAGGAACAGCACCATTTAAACTAGTCCTAAAGACATTATCTCAGGTAACTTTCTAAACAATGCTGGCTTTAAAAAAATATAGCTGTGAATTTCAGAAGCTCGGAGAATAAAAGAAAAAATAACTTCCATTTATAAAACAGAATCTGACACAGAAAGTGTAGCTGAGTTATAATGTGCTCTCTGCTGTAATTTAAGCTTCGATAGAAATACCTACCACAGGCATTTGCAGCTTATTTCACTCAATCATGATCAAAACTGCACCATTACTATTTAAACATTTCCTTTTTTTTTTTTTTTAATCCTAAGCAGGAGTGAGTGATTTTCTTTTACGATAACAACAACTGTTTTAATATGAGGTGGTACAAAGTATTATTTTAAATGCATGAAAAGAAATCAGATCACGTTCCTAAACCCACCGAGGGTAGAGCAAAGAACGTGCTGCAGGTCCTTACCCGTTTTGCAAGCCGACATGCAGGTGAATAAGGAAAGGTGCTGGTTAACTAACACCAGATACATGATACATGCGCCTCAGCACCCTGAAAACCTGCCAGAGCAAGAAGGACAGAGGACAAGGAAAGCTGTCTCCAAATAAAACGGCCAGTTGTACTCCTGAAAAGGAGGGGGTGTCTAAATGCAGCTCCTGCTGCCTCCAGTCTGGCGGGCAGAGAGCTGCCGCGTGCCCGGCCGCCTCCACTCCCGCCGTGCCCTCGCAATGGGAATAACACACTGCAAAGGCTGTGGAAAAGAGGGCTCCACCGAGCAGCTTTAATGCTGCTGTTTATGTGGGTTTTTTTGGTTGTCTAAATTGAGGTAGTCTCTCTCTCTGCAATTACACTAATCTCAAAATTTTAAAAGTCTGACTGCAAGTACAGATTCAAATCATTCTGTTCCACATTTTGGGTTTTCTTTTTCTTTTTTATTTATTTTTTAATTCTATTTTTATTTTAAGTCACATGCAATCACCACACAGATGATACCGCACATTTTTTGTTGACAGAAAAAATATACACCCCTTTATTTTTCAGCGTCAAATACTGCATGTAATGTTAATAATCACATGAACCGTCTGGTCAGACCTCACAGTCACGCAAATATTAATCTGCAAGATAACTACATCATGACAGGCACTTCTCTTCTGTGTTCATGACATGCTGTAATATTTTAATGAAAGACTTACTGCTACAATTTCTTAGAGAAAGCTGAGAGCCAAAGTAGAGAAGAATGGAAGTCCATACAATATGTTTTTGGGAAAAAGGAAAAGGCCAAAAAATAGAAGAAATAGATTACAAATTTCTTGTGTCTTAGTATTTGGGCTTACAATTTCTCCACCAACTCCCATAAGGAATAGGACTGTTTTCTCTATGTATTTTTTTTTTTTAAAGGAACTTCATATGGGCTTACTAAAAAAAGCTAGTGAAAAGTTATACCAGTATATTTATTTTTACCAAAAGCAGGCAATACAAATATCCTCTAGGTCATTTATTTCAACATGAAATTGGATGCAAAACACATTATGGGGCTAGGCTGATGGGAGAAAAGAAAATAATCTGCCCCCTCTTGCAGTTAAGGGCTGCAATCTCTTACGCTGCTTCTTTTCCTCCTAAAGTCTGAAAACACAGTTTGGGAAACGTATTTCCTTCCAAGTGAAATCATTATTTAAGCGCTGCTACACCTCTGGCAACTCAGCCAAGTTGCCAGGTATAGCTAGAAAAAAAATCTGTGGGAGCAGCAGCGACCGCCCTGCTGGTTACTGTCGGACAGAATGCGCTGGAAAGCGGGGCAGGAAGGGCGCACAAGTCAAAGCAGCAGACCACAAAACTGAAAAAGAGAAAAAAAGCCCAGCAAAAAATTAAATTTAATTGCCTATATTCAAAAGTACATAATATACACAAATGGTGGTTTACAGCATGAAGTTTTGCAGTATCCCAGAGATGGCTTATGCAAGAATTATACAAGATAAATGGATGCAGTGAAGATGCAGGAAATTACTGAGTAAAATGATTTATGCCACAACCTTGGGGAACAACAGTATTAGAAAAGCTTAATTACAACCAAACTATCTTGTCTGCTAAATTAAAGAACATTAGAGCAATATAACTGGCAGATGAAATTTCACTGTGCTTCTTACTTGGCAGAAATTTCAGAATCCTTAAATATGGTCTAATTCTGTAAACAGATTTTTCTTTCATTCAGTTGCCGGTGTACATACAACAATTATCCCCAGGGCATATATAAAGTAAAGAACTTGATAAAACTATTCTACTTTTACCCCATCATTAAGGTTATTAGATCAAGTAGTAGAAATTCATTCTTTCTACAACTACTTGAAATCCAATGGCATAAAATATTATTATGAAAAAATGCCTCTGCTACCGACTCAGGAAGAGACAGCACTATCATGACACACGACAGGTGATGGAAAACGCAGAAGAGCATTCCCTCAACTACAGGGATGATTTTATGCCTCTGCTCTATCCTTCCACTTATTTTTAAAGAACTTTAAACCCAGGGGAAAGAAGTGCCCATTTGTCAAGCTTAGTCGAAACTGTTCAAAAGGCACAAAACTGAGAAGGTGAAAGGGAAATGCATTTTGAGGGTCATGATTACAGAAGCATTTCACCAAGAAATACAACAAGGTTTGAGATCTTCCTATTAAAAAAAAAAAAAAAAAATTATCCTAGGATATATAGAAAACCCTATAATCATTCATAGCCACTTTTCAGAGTCAAAATGGAGGACATAATATGGGAGGGAAAAAGATACTGCTACTTAATAAAATTACTAAAATATATTCCGTCTTATAAAGCATGCTATAGGTACATTAAAATTGGCAGTAGTTCTAGGGGAAGGTTTCTGTTTCCCAATTCAAACAGATTCAAAGTTTTAAAAATACTTAATACTTAAACCTGTTTTTTAAAAAAATAAAATAAAATAAAATTTACAAAAATGTTAAGATATTGATTTAGAGAAACTTTGAAATGAATGTTAAATTTAACTAACAAGCAATAAATCAGAAAAAAACACTCCGGGCAAATTGCAGTCCTGCCTTAGTTTAAATATCTTTGAATAAGAGTTAATATATTGTAGCAATGCCACACTGATAAGGCTGAATGAGTCATTTAGAGGAAAAACTTTACTCATCCACTCTTAAGGGACTGCACCTTATTTAACAACCTTTTGTCGGCACAGCTCAGCTGGCCAGTGCAAGCCAGGAGACCCTCAGGAGGCTCCTGGTTCTGCAGTGTTACTCCCAGCTCACCAGGGCCCTTGCTGAACTGCAGTGCTGAACACTGGGACTGCTCCTTCCTACAGGACTTAATTCCTACGTTTTTACTTGCACCATTTTTCATCGCTGTCTTTAATGCTGCCGGGTTTGTGGCCAGGCTACCGGCCTCCAGAAGCTCCCTCTCCCTCAGCCCTGCAGGG